GCCATCAATCCCTGTTGTTATGACGATGGGGTCATCATGAGGCATTCAATGCCTTGTAGGTCGCTGCCCCCAGAGGATACGAGCTCCTCCGCCTTCATCCTCTTGTCGCCTTGGTCAACCCGTAATGCCGTCTTAGCATATCTCTTTCGGGTGTTGTTGGATGCCACTCAAAACAGTGGGACCACCACTGATCATGTTGATGACCTCCTTATAACTGGGCTCTGGGGGTTGGCTATCTTGGCATGATCGAGGACGAGGTGATCGCGAGTGAGATCTCCTATCCGCCTTGGTTGGGGCAGCTTCCCTACGGCCTCTCTGAGAGACGAGGTTCTTCAAGTGCCCTCTCTCGATCAGATCTTCAATGTCCCTCTTTAGGATACAACAGTCATTGGTGAGGTGGCTGTGATCCTTGTGGTAACTATAAAATTGCATGGTGTCCCAGTTTCATGAATTCGACCTCATTTGAGGAGCAAGCTCCTTGAGGTGTCCCTCCTTTTAGACCATGGTGAGAGCTCTGGTGAGGGAGGTGTTGAAGATAATGAGTGCAGACTTCGACGCTAGGTCCCTCTGTCGGTCCCTCCTATTAGACCGATTAAAGTGGGAGTCGCCTCTCGAAGGGTCTCTCGGACACTCCTACCTTGTAGGGGGGCCTCTAGCTGATTCTGGTGTCAATGCCACCACCGATGCTGCTGCTGGTGCGAGTGGTGCAAGTGGCACTGGTGCGGAAGTCATGGTTGTAGAGGTCTCCGTTACTCTGGCTGATGCCTTATAAGCTCGGGCATCCTCCATATCAATGTACCCTTGAGCTTTGGCCATCAGTTGCTCATAGTTGGTGGCTGGCTTATTAGCAAGCGAGTTGGCTAACTCGTTGCTCTGCAAGCCGATCACGAGAGCAGACATAGTGACCGTACTGCCTAAGTCATTGACCTCCAGCCTCTTTGCTTGGAACCTCTTGAAGTAGGGTCGAAGGCTCTCTTTGGACCCCTGCCTCATTTGAATTAACACATGAGGGGACAACTTCTGCTTGGTGTCAGCCAGGAAGTGGTGGATGAATTTCCGACTGAGTTATTGAAAGCTGCTGATGGACTTCTTCTCAAGAGCGTTCCACCGGAGCTTGGCACTCCCTAAAACTGCAAGCCGATCACGAGAGCAGACATAGTGACCGTACTGCCTAAGTCATTGACCTCCAGCCTCTTTGCTTGGAACCTCTTGAAGTAGGGTCGAAGGCTCTCTTTGGACCCCTGCCTCATTTGAATTAACACATGAGGGGACAACTTCTGCTTGGTGTCAGCCAGGAAGTGGTGGATGAATTTCCGACTGAGTTATTGAAAGCTGCTGATGGACTTCTTCTCAAGAGCGTTCCACCGGAGCTTGGCACTCCCTAAAAAGTGATAGGGAAGCATCAACAAATGAGTTCTTCTGATGCTTGGAGCATGCTCATCACACCATAAAAGTCCTAAACATGCTCGGAGGGGTCTCCCTCACCCTTATACTTCTCCATGTGAGGCATCTTGAACTTCTCATATGGGACATTCATAAGGTCATTTGAAAGAGGGGTGTTCCCCTATCGGTCTGTAGACCTGACCGTATCCGGAGGCCGTTATGGTAGCAGAGGGGGCTGGAGAGGCACGATGATGAAGGAGAGTCTTAGAGACTACTCCCCTATTGTGGTTCCTAAGGTGACTAGGGCTAGAACTCTCGCCAGAGATTTCTTGATGAGAGAGAAGATGTCGGCGAGGCTCTTCGGGGTGAGTAGACCGATGAGGAGTCCGAGACAGGACTACTTGCTGTGCTCTGGTAGATTAATGTGGCTGTGGAAGCCGACTGAGAAGTTCAATAGTAAAGGTAGCGAATTGCTATTGGAGAGATTGAAAAATTTGATGAGCTGTTTCTTCAAGCTGAACTCGAGTAACATAGCTCTGGTGTGATTCTACAGGGCGAGATTGATCAGACCCATGCTCGAAACCAGACATGTTTTCTCGAAAAAGAAAGCAGCCCCACGGTGAGCTCCAAACTATTGATGTTTAATGATTATACATTCAATTAAAATGGTTGGATAGGGGTGAGATTGATGAGGGGCAAGATTGATGAAGGGCCGCTTCCTTCCCCAAATATCTAGTTCTGAGTTGAGTGGTTAAAGCCTACACAAGTAAAAACTCGTGAGAGGACGGGGCTTAGTTTCCTCGTGGTTCTTCCAAGGATTAAGTTAGTTGGTGAACTTGAGTGAGGAAAAAGAATTGTGAGAGTTTTTATTGTGCAATATAATTTGCAGATATATCTTAGAAGATTAGATTTCTGGAAAAAGATCCAAAAGTCAAAAAAGTCCTCCTTTGTTAGAATAGTACCTCTTATTTATACTGATGGTATAAGAGTAGAATCGTCACTTCAGCCGAGCACAGCACAATGATGAAGAAGTATGGGCTGGCGGCTGTATCGACACTTACTTTACACGTGCCAGTAATTGAGTGGAGGAGAGATCACCTCAGCATTAAATATGAAGCGATCTGAGGCATGTCGGTGCCAACGTGATCCGATGAGTCATGAAGGCTATCGGGGCTAGATGTATGATGGCGCCTGCCAAACATTAAATGTGACGTTAATGTTGTGTTAACGGGAGAGGCTCGAGGCTAAAGTCATCCTCTAGCTTCGCCGAGAAGTAACGCCTTTCGAGTCGTCCTCGTGAGGCGTCAAATAATTGGTCGAGTGGGCTCGTTGCGAGTCATCTTCAACAAGAGGGCCAACAAGTTCTACCATTCGAGTAGACATGAAGGAATATCGACTCGGTGAGTCGGCTAAGTTAGAATCCTTGTTGGTCTCTGACAGCCAATTTGATTGGGGGCATTGCAGGTAAAAGTACACTCGTCCGTTGCTGGCAAAAGGGTTACACTTTAGCCAAGAACACCATAACAATAGTGTTACATGAATTGAAAGGTTTTTGAGTCATTTCATCAAACAAGTGATGAGCAACTATCATGGTCCATGAATACATCAATGTCGTAGACGGTCTCCGCCATCATGCAAGAGAGTTTAGAGGTGGGGAGAGTGTGGTCAAGGGAGGAGAAGATGGCGGCGAGATCAGAAGAGGAGATATTGTTATCGCCATTGATTCAAACTTGTAGAGGACACATTTAAGGTCAGTGGTGATGGTTGGGGAGGAGAGGATCGACGACGGAGGATTGGCAGAGCTGGAGGTGGGTCTAGGTTTAGATCTAGGTGAGAATTTGGAACGGGTACTACAGTGATGGAGGAAAGATGCCATTGGAAAAGGGGGCATTGTATTTGGAGGAAGATTAGAGTTAGAGTTAGAATTAGGAGAGACAAGGAGAGGATACAAGAGCAACCATGAAGGTGAGGATTAGGAGAGAGGAGGAGCAATAAAATTAACAACGGTGCCAGTAACAATGGTTGGGGACGAGGATTTAAGGAGAGTGTTGAGTTGGAAGGAGGAAGATAGAGGAGATATCTCACCATGGTTGTGATCTCCATGAATTTTTGGGTTTTTTTGATTTTTTTCCTCTCTTTGCGCTTAGTTGGCAGAGGAATAAGGGCATTGATACAATATTGCCTTGACTTTTGGGTTTATACACAAGGATGAAAATAATGGGGTCTGAGGCACATCAAGTCCTTATATTTAGTGCCTTGACACTATTTTTCCGAATCTCTATCCCTATTTCACATGTTTCCCTTTAAATTGGTTAAAATTATACAACGAGAGTCTATCACACTTATCTAAAAAAACTAAAGTTATAGATCACAAAAGTTGTTTCATTTATTTGAATATCGAAATAAAAAAATTCAAATATTTTATGAGATCATTACCCATAGCTATATACTACCAAAATTATCTTTATCCTACCCAAATTTAAGATAATTAGCATACACCCTAACAGATATAGATATATAGATATTTGCATTAATTTCCGACTGAGTACATATTTTGTTATGCATACAGACATTTGTTTCTTTTTACACACCTGTCTAGTCATCTACTTTGTATGTACGGATAACATGATATAGTCTTACATAAGTACTAATATTTAATATGTGTCTGTATATGTATTCTTATCTTATTACATCCCTACCCTCCTACCATGTACATTATACATGCATGACTTATTTTCACTTCGGTTCCCCAAGCTTTACCCATTTCGCCCCCTTTGATACCACGAAGTATTTTTTTAACACTTTGTTACTTCCATTTCATATTCCTACCCTCCATCGAATTTTATTAGATTTTTTATTAAATTCCTATTATATTTAGATTAGTGGCGGATGTATAAATTTTATGAAAAGCGGTGTTAGTATATAATTAATAATAGACAAGTTTGCAATCATTCTCAAATTGATATCGTTTATTGAAAAAGTAGGGAACCACATCAATAGTAACACTACATGTCGGAGCTTAAATGCATAATTGCAGAAGAAACAACTGGATTTAAGTGCACTGTTAACCACATGGTCAAATCAAATACAATATCAGCTAACAGATTATTGTGTGAGAGTTTTTTCTCATGGTGTCAAGTCAGATCATGAGCAAAGCGTGTCACATGACACTAGCCTAAGTTGAATCCACTCTGATTCAGATCTATTCCACACAATTGCTAATGATATATCAGTAAACAATGTACCTCATATTAAGAACAAGAGATAAATTTAACAAAAAATCTAACGAAATCCAAACGAGATATCAAGTCAAAGTAAAATAAAATTTAAACTTTTAGGGATGAAATTGTTAAAAAGCACTTTGGAAAATCAAATGGAACAATGGATAAATTTTGTGGTACCAATAGTGAAAAAAATAACCCACATACATGTGATAAGATGATCAATCAAGATAGGGGGAGGGTTTGGACGGAGGGGGTAGAGAGAGAGGCAGAGTTTGCGCTCAACCCCTCACCGCGGTTAAATCCTCACCGCGGTTAAATCCTCCACAATTGACGTGGCAACTCCACATGCGTATATATTGGGAAAATCTCTCAGCACCCTTCTCATAGCGGACACCTCATCTCTCCTCCTCCCCTCTCTCTCTCTCTCTCTCATAACTTTTGAGAGGAAAATTAAAGAAAGAAAACAGAAACAAAGAAAGAAGAGGAAAATCCCAACAAATTCTCTCTCCTCTTTCCTCATTTCTATCCTCTTCCTTCATAAATTATTTGATTCTAGTTCTAATTCCAATCGGAAACCAGATAAATCCAAGGCCCAAAGCTGAAACAGAGGGAGATAAGAGAGAGTAACTGACATATTTTGTTGGCAGATCAATGATCTCAGTAATGGACTTTGATGCAAGCTGTGATTTGATCTCTCCATTTGTTCATCTCGATCTGACCCGATCCATCCTCTGATTGTAATTATTGTAATTGTAACAAGTGGGTAGTTTTCTTTAATTTCTTATCTTATCTCTGTTTGCTAATTGTTACTGCTTGATGGCTTTTTGTTCATCGATGGATAGATGGTCTTTCGATCATTACTGGTTTTTGATTGATGGGTGTTTTAAAGTTTTGATTTTGTCATTTGGGCGTGTTCTGTTTTTAGTCATCGGGGACAAACTTATATGTTCTCTGTTTCATGGACTTGTAATTGATTTTTGCTACTTTAAATGAGTATGAAAGCGATCGGACTATTGTTTCATGAAGATCTAGTCATTATTGGCTATATTGATGGTGGTAGGTTGCACCATTTTGTTCAAGTTTGATCAATTTTGATCAATATCTGGTGGAAGGTGGGGGGTTGGAATTTGAGATTATCTGATGTTTAGGAAAAGTACGCTTTTTGATGTGGAATTCCTTTCTTTATTGGTGTCTTTAGGATGAAGAATATGCTTTAATTCAGTAATGGTATAATTCACATAGGATCCTTTGGTCCTTGATAGGCAATTCTGCTTCCTTATTTTGATCTATGTATGTATCTGCTTCGCCGCAAATGGATTCATCTTAAGCTAACTCTTTCAACTGTATCGGTCCCAATTTTCATTTGCTTCTCTCAAGTTGGTGAAGATCTTGCATTCTGCTGTAGCTTGATTATTTGTGCATCGGTGTATCTGACAAATTATTGCATGTAGCTTGCACATTTATTTTTGCAAACTATAAACATTGATGTTTTCGGGATCATTCATCTTGGGAATATGAATTATTGATTGGTCTTCCTCCATCTCTTATCTATTTTTGTTGAATTTGTTGTAGATTGGTTTCCACGATAGTTCTTACTGGGATTCAACTGAAGGAAGTGAAGTGAATTTCAATCTCCCATCTGATCAGACTTGGGGCACTGCTCGAGCTTAATTGCAGTGCCCAAATGGATGCCTCTACGAGCGGAGCCACTCCTTCAATTCACTACATTATAGACCAGTCCCTCTCTCTCGTCACTCCATTGCAGCAAAGCTTGCAACGAATCCAACGTCATTGCTTTGGTGATGCTCATCCCGGGGAATTCCCCCTTGCAACCAATCCTTCCATTGTTCTCCATGTCCTGACTGCTTGTGATTTGGAACCACAGGATCTCGCGAGCCTCGAGGCAAGTAACCAATTTCTATTTTATTCCATCATCTTAGAGCTGATAATGCCACTGATTGATTTTGCTGGTTATGTTAGGCAACATGTACATTCTTCAGGCAACCTGCCAACTTTCCCCCCGACTTTGAGCTTTCCATTGCGGAGCTTGCTGCATTGGATATGTGCCAGAAAAGAGCCATTTTTAAGCCAATGACAGAAGAAGAAAAGCTTAGCCTTAAGCAAAGGTGTGGCGGTTCTTGGAAGCTGGTGCTTAGGTACCTGCTGGCAGGTGAAGCGTGCTGCCGCAGGGAAAAGTCGCAGGCTATTGCTGGGCCCGGGCACAGCATTGCGGTCACCTCGAGTGGAGCAGTCTATACATTTGGCTCCAATAGCTCGGGCCAGCTTGGCCATGGAAACTTAGAAGAGGAGTGGAGACCGCGCCATATCAAGTACTTTTTACTATCTTAAATGCTTTATACTAACAACAATGGGGAGAAATTCCTAGGGAGGGCCCTCTATGGAATATCTTATACGGAGGAAGGAGAGGATGACACATGACATATCACTACTCACTATAGATGGACAGTAGTGATGTGTACTATAGATGGACACTAGTGATGTGTGCATCAAGATTCGTTATATGACAGGAGTCAACCTCTTCCTCCATATACAAAATTCTATGGAGGACTTTCTTTTGGATTTTTTTCATGAATCCAATGCACATTGTTAAGAAGAGCATGAAAATTGAAACATTTGCTCATTGGTAGATCATTGCAAGGCATCCGGATCATACAAGCTGCTGCAGGGGCAGGACGAACCATGTTGATAAGTGATGCTGGACGTGTTTATGCATTTGGTAAGGACTCATTCGGGGAAGCCGAATACGGAGCTCAAGGGGCAAAGCTCGTGACAACTCCCCAGCTTGTGGAGTCCTTGAAGGGCATTTATGTTGTTCAAGCAGCAATTGGGAATTTCTTCACAGCTGTTCTATCTAGAGAAGGTAGAGTTTATACATTTTCATGGGGGAATGATGCGAAACTAGGACATCAGACTGAATCAACTGATTTGGAGCCTCATCCTCTTTTGGGACCTCTGGAAAATATACCAGTTGTTCAGATTGCTGCTGGCTACTGCTATCTTCTGGCATTAGCATGTCAACCTAGTGGAATGTAAGTTTTTGTAACATTGTTATGTTCTTTCATTATCAAAATCTTGTAGTTCTCTGCTGATATATGGTGAAATTGCAGTTAAACGTACAAATTCCTGCATATTTCTTTTCCTTTTGCCAATAACAATAGATGTAAGTGATAGATTATCTTATTATTTTCAAGAAATACCTGATCAACTTCAACTGGCAGGAGATTGTTTTGAAATTTGGCTCAGTTTGTGATGCATCACCCTGTTCATATATTTGCTATTGGAATGAAAATCTGAGTTTTTGGATGTGTCATCTTGAATACATATAAATCTTCTAACACCGTACGAGCTCAAGAACACATGATACTTTTGATTACCATAACAACCATTTGTCAGCTACTTGAATATACTTGGGCCTCATAAATTGCCACTGTATCCTGTACTAGGTTGCTGGTGTGTTTTTGTTTTTGTGCTAAATGTTTAACAAATGATGTCTATACAACCTCTATCCCTTTGCCATCACCTCTATGCCTCTTGCTTGCTACAACCACCTTGGAGCAGCTTGACACATTGATTCCCATAGCTATATTAGTCTGTTTTGCTTTTCAATCTTTCCTCTTTTATCTTCCTCTATTGTACTTCTCCTCTTCTCCCACTTTCTCTCTATATATTATGTATCCGTTTTCTCTAGTTAATTGATGATGCTTGTTATTAATGCAGGTCTGTGTACTCTGTTGGGTGTGGACTAGGAGGAAAGCTCGGCCATGGTTCTAGGACTGATGAAAGGCATCCTAGGTTGATTGAAAAGTTTCAGACCTTAAATTTACAACCTATGGTAGTGGCTGCTGGTGCTTGGCATGCTGCTGTTGTTGGTCGAGATGGGCGGGTGTGCACTTGGGGATGGGGCCGTTATGGCTGTTTGGGTCATGGGAATGAGGAATGTGAGTCCATGCCCAAGGTGGTCGATTCCTTGAGCAAAGTCAAGGCTGTCCATGTTGCCACTGGTGATTATACCACTTTCGTTGTATCAGCTGAAGGAGATGTCTACTCATTTGGATGCGGAGAATCTTCTAGTCTTGGGCATTCTACTGCTGTGGAGGGTCAGGTATATGACTAATTTTTAAAAAATTCTAATGTTTACTTACCGATAGTTTCAACACAGACAGCAGTAATACTCATAGATCTTACTCCAAAGTTATATGCCATTATAGTTTGAACAACTGATAAAAGTGGCAGTGCTGTGTTCTTGGCATGCTTCCTCTCACTGTACATAAACTTGATTCCTTGTCTCAGCATGGTCTTGATTGCCTCCTCTGATCGACACCTCAAAATTTTTCCATATTGAACCTAGTGTCTTCTCAAAAATTGTGTTTATCCATTGTTATTTCTTGATAAAATCTCAATAATATTGTGATTTTCTTACATCAATACTGTTCGGGAAGCTTCTAATACATGCATTTCATGGGCAAAAAGAAAAGGAAGAAAAAAAAAACTACTGTATGATAATTTTGGCATGCCTGTTTATGCTTTTTACAATTTTACATAGCCAATTTGAAGGATTTTTTTTTTTCATATTGAATGACTATCCACTGACCGTGATTCCCTTTTAAAGCCGCACCTTGCCCAAGCTTGCTTTGGTCAAGTATCTGTCCCGAACTTGGGACATGGTTATGAGAGGTCTCAGTACTTCATTATAATAAAAAATCTTATTTAAGATAAAGCCTACAGATTTAAGCCTTTTGATTGAATGACTGCTGAACTGAATTGTTTCTGTTTACAGCCCAACAGGCATACAAATGTACTCAGTCCAGAGCTGGTGACATCATTGAAGAACATTGATGAGAGGGTGGTTCAGATTAGCCTCACCAACTCCATATACTGGAATGCACATACCTTTGCTTTAACACATTCAGGTAAACTATATGCATTCGGGGCCGGAGACAAAGGACAGCTTGGCATAGAACTTGTCGGTCAGCAAAGCGAAAGAGGAAATCCAGAACGGGTCGATATTGATTTAAGTTAACTCGAAAGAGGAAATACAGAACGGGTCGGTATTGATCTAAGTTAACTCTCGGTTCGTTCTCCATGTCTTACACCTCCCACAAGTACCCACATTGTTCATAAGTCCATTCCAAAAAGAGAAAAGGGGGGGAAACCAATCTCTTGTTCATTTGTAAATATGTTTTCATCGTGTCTAGTGCATACTCATAAAAGGGTAGAAGCTGGGATTGAACAAAGTACTCCATCCCTTGAACCATTTAACATTTTATTTCGTGTTGTTGGTAGGTTCCATATTTATTGTGTGCTTCAGATTTAATTTGTGGAATATTAGCTTTATCCCTAAATTGTCACTGGTGGCCTAACAAACATAATAGCTCACTTCAAGGTATGTTCTAATTTCTGTTTATGTAAATGCATTTACAGTATCATATAGCTCTAATTTCTCTTGCATCAACGAACTTTGATCTGAATGTAGTAATATCTCGTTTATCCTTTTATATTTTTAGAAAGCATTACATAAAACCTAACTAAATGGTTGTATTAAGTCGGTTTTGTAGCTCCCCCTTAAATCAGTTTTTGTCTAAAACTGTTTAGTTCTGGACCACCTCCTCCCCTTTGCGGAGCTAAATTGGTCTAGAGGCCTAAACTTGAACTTAAAAAAAAAAAAAAACAAGGCTAAATGGCATTTAAGTAACCTATTATTTCACCGCCTTTACACTTAGAATACCCTCCGTTGCAAGAAGTAATACTTTAATGCTCTAAGTTGTAAAAAAGTAGCACTTCAATATCATTGGTTGTAAAAAAATTATGGCACCTTTGTACCTTCTATTTGTTGCACAACATTTTTGTAATTGTGTTGACCTTATTTATTGTCATACTTTTTACTTTGCCTACCCTCCATCTTTTAATTAAAATTTACACTCATATTTTATTTAGGGGTATTTTTGTCATAACGGGGTTCTTTATTGGTATTTAAAATATTCTCACCATAGACAACTTAAGGTATTTATGTGTTACTTTTTACAGCTCACGACGTTTAAGACATTTAAGTGTAAATGTGGTGAAACAATAGAGTATTTAAGTGCCACTTAACCCCTAAAAAAATTGATTGGATTTTTGACCCGATTTAAGCTAAATAGAATTTTACACTCTTTAACCAGATTACTCTTTAACCTGATTAGTTTAGTAGTGAGAGTTGCCAAAATGGCCCTTGTTAGAATTTGGATACAGATGCAACTGTATAAAACTCCCAATTATTCCTAATAGGCCCTCTTAGAGATCGATGCCGAGAGTGGTCCATTTCCTGTCCATGGTTGGTCTGGTCAGTCCCTAGGCCTAACTCAGCCAAGCTTTATTTGACTGCACAGACGTAAGCTTTGATGCATTGTCAAGCTATAAAGGTTGTTGAATGGGATCCCCAAGTGGATTCTCAGCCCCCTGATGTAATGGACGCTGTCTGAGAGCGACGTGTTCATTTTTATATTGAGCGTTTTGGGCTAGATAGCCGATGCTAGTTTCCAATCACGAAGCATCTCTAACTTTGGTATATATTTAATTATGTCATGATCGGATTAATTAAGCAGATAAGAAGGATTACCAACAGTGACGTGTAGGTTAGTTTGCTTATCGGAAAACTGTAGAGTGCAAACTCTTCCATCGTCTAATTAACTTACACCACCTGCATTCTGTTTGCCTGGTATTGAGATTGTTATTTAGGCTTGCGTTGCCTCTCTGCTAAGTTTGCATCGAATATTAACGAGCTTGAATAATCTCCGAGTCTTGGTGATGACTTGTTATTTTCGTTCGTTCGCATGTGAGGTTCCTTATGCCAATGCGGTTGCCAAGTAGGGAAGAAATGTATACGGTATACGGATCGAGTTGAATATTTGATTCCTTTGCTGTTGGGGAAATTGATGGCCGGGTTTGAAAATGGAGGAGAGAGTTACGTCTCTTTTGGTGCTATGTTATCACTTTTTTAGGCTGCAAGCTTATCAATGTGATTGGTGACCTATGCTTGTATTGAACTATTTTATTAGTGGAGAGCGTGCGGTGCTAATACTCAATCACGCCCTTTGTTCAACATTATTATTTCGCCCGTAATCAGATCAACTGACCAAGTTCCATTCGTTTATGTGATTCGATCTCCGGAATAACGCGGTAAAACCAAAACTACCGTAATTCATAATATATACAGCAAGCTGTGTTTAATTCTCCGTTTTGTTTTGGATTAATAGTTAATAAAATGGAACAAAATCTATTATTGTAATCCGAGTTCTTTCTGTAGGCTTTGAGCACGCGCTCGGTTCGATCAGTTCAATTTTGATTAAATTGAACTGAGACCTATGGGTCGCTCCCGCTTAGACCGAACAAAACAAGATTGGGTTTGGTTTGGTGAATTTTGTCTGTTTGAGTTTAGACTTGGTTAAGGAAATGAGCTATCTTGGTTCAAAAAGAGAGACTGATCCAGAGATCGATGAAGGAACGATGCGAATAAGATGAAGCAGCTAAAATTTGAAAAAAGAAAACTCATGGAGATCGATGAAGGAAAGATACAAATCAGACGATCAAATAGCTAAAATTTGAAAAAGAAAAATTGTGGAGCAACGGAAACAAAGACTGCGGTTTAGAAAACTGAGAGACAAAACATATTCTAAAAAAGTTGGATTGTACATCCATCAGTTTAATCAGTTCTACCTAAGTAACGCTCTTCTCTTCCAACGAAAACATCGATTTGAAATTTGCGAGCGAGGAGGTTACAGCCAATAATAAGCTATGCAGCTTAAGATCGTGCAGCTGTATAAAATGACCACATTTTAAGCTCATGCAATTGTAGAATGATCACATCTAGAATATAGAATTTGCACGGGACTTTGTACTGGTTAGCACCAAATGGATAAAGTACAATCATCATATGAGAAAATAGGAGGAGGCCAATGGTATCTAGCTGTTATAAACCGTGACGTTTCAAAATTAAAATAAATTTTATATATTCTACAATAGCACTCATGAGTTCCTATCTCCACAGTTTGCAATTATCATATAGAGCACTGTGGACAACATGTCCATCTGTATCTAGATATAAAAGGCAAAAGAATTGTTACATGGGGCCGTCGTAGCGATGGTCACAATAACTTTGTTAACAACTTTTATTTCTTCGAATTTGAATCCGGATCAAAAGAAAAAAAAAAAAAAAAAAAAAAATCCCTTATTCAGTTAAGTATTCGATATTTATGACTTCTTAATTTCTAGCTTATAACCCAAGAAATATGTTATGTTTTGCATTGGTTCTCACTTTTCTTAAAAGAGGTTATGATAAAAGTATGATACGGACCCTGGTTACTGATATTAAATTTGCACCCAACAAATATCAACCATTACACCAATACACAAATCACAAAACTCAATGATCCAAGAGTTGACATCCATTAGGTGCACATTTAATATCATAGACAACCTCTATTGGATACTTCCTCAGTTGACTTGAATTCCTAGTGTTCATTGTAACAACAAAAGCATCGTGCATCACATAGTTATAGGCTTGTAATAACCAAAATTTGATATTAATTTGTGAGATGTGATCATATCTGACATGATAACCAAAATATGTTGTTTTTAGGCCTATGAAAATTATATTCGATTTCCAAAGGACATGTTAGAACATAAACTTATGACATTCATTTCTCATCATAACTTAAGGTTTTTGTGAAGTGTGTTGGGAATTTGACGCTGAAATCCCTAATGCAACGAAAAACGCAGAATAGAGAACAGTACACAAGATTTACGAGGTTCGGCAACTGCCTACGTCCTCGGGAGCCACACAGTTAATTTCTTATTTAATCTAACAAGAAATTACAAATTAAGAGCAAATCTCTAAACTGAGATTCCTCAAACAAACACTGTAGCTACAGTGTTAATACCCACAATAAAAAAACCCCTTTCTCTTTTCTCTCTCTCTTCTTAAATCCCCCTTCAATCACTGTTGAAAGGCTGGGGTTAATTAGAAAATCGCTGCTGCGATTTTAAGAGAGGGAACGCTGCTGCGTTTGGGGGTTTTCCGCCGCCAGAGAAAATCGGGGGAGAGGAGCAACCCAAACCCTAGGGCCTCGAGGGGGGTTTTATAGGGGATCACGACAGGATGGCGACAGCCTGTCGCCAGCCACGCGAGCGTCCACGCTCGACGCTGAGGTCGAAGTCGCCAGACGCGGACGTCGGAGTCACGGACGCGAGGGTCGGCATCGTGGACGCGAGGGTCGGAGCTTGAAACACCGAGGGTCGCGTTTGCTCTGTCGAGGGTCACGTTCTGCCTTCGCCACCATCGCGTTCGTCGTCGAATTCGCCGAGTCGACGCTCGCCTGCTCCAACCTGGAGCTCGCCGGAGCTTCGCCGGAGCTCCTCATCGTCGTAGGAGGTTGGTATCCACCCTCAACCTAACAAAGTGCACATCACCTTGGACGAAAAGTAAAAAATAGTTCCTTTTATATGATTGTTCTTTATAAAGTTGTGATTTAAGACATAATAGAACATTGCAATTTACCAAAAAAAAAAGATAAAATCCTTCCATTTATACCGGTTAGAAAAGGAATAATATGATCTAAAAAATGGTAATCGCTTTTACAAGAAGTATAGAAATTTCTCCTTGGTTATGGATAACTCGCTTGCTTGTGCGGTGTTCTCACTTTATTCCCTTGGAACAATCTTTGGGCCCATGGACTTGTTTTGGGGTAAAACCATTAGTATACGTGTGTAAGCACAAAAATATTGATGCTAAATGATTCACTCTATACTTGCCTCCTTCACTGGCCCAATGCTTCACCCCTTATTGG